TATATATAATATGCAAATAAACCAAACAGTGGAAAAACCAAACAACTGGTTGCTATGATGTGCACTGACCACCAGGGGGGCATTCGCTGAACATGGCAGACTTTGGCAGCAGGTGGCAGAGCATGGAACATGGCAGGCATCGGCCTAACTGGGATGGTGGAACAAGTGAGCGGGTCACCAGACTGAGGCAGGGCGCCAGTCACTGTCATTGGGGTGAGCCTCTGGTGGTTACTAAAAATTCTTTGCTCCCACATGCCATTGTTCCGCCAGTTGCTTGCATCTGCTGCTGTCGCTGGTCCTGCTTGCACCAGCTGCCAGTGCTGGTACAGATTGTTTGGCATTGTCAATGGGTGCAAGTGGCAGCTGCTGACCCCAATTGCCGCTGAGGGCTTCTCTACCTCCACCTGCTCTTGGGAGGTAATTGGGGCAGCAGCCACCACTTGCACCCACTGCTGGCTCTGGCCCCAATTGCTCCATGCTGTTAGCAAACGTAAGCGGGGCCAGCACCGTCAGCATGTGGGAGTGTTGGTGGTGGGAGCAGGGCTGCCAGAAGAAAGAGGACAGAGGTCCATGGGGAGAGGGGCCAGTCACAGGCACAGAGGATGGGCCGAGACCCACCCTTGTGCCCACTGCAGCCTGGCAGCCCACAGTTCCTTTCCAAGTGCACAAATTTGTGCACTGGGCTTCTAGTCTACACAATTAAAAGAGAAACATGCAAATTGGTGTCACTCCACTACGCCCACCAGCCAATCAGAGCAACTATGCAAATTAACCCAACAAAGATGGCAGTTAATTTGCATACACAGGCACAGAGGGAACACTGAAGGCTCCGGCCAGAGTGAAGATGGAATACTGAAGACAGAAGACTAAATAATGAAGACTGAAGGCTGAAGAGGCTTGCTGTGCCCAGACCAAAGGCCTGGGTCCCAGGTGCCAGAGGAAAACTGCAGCCAGCAGCCAGGGGAATGAAGGTCTATTGCACGAATTTTTCTGCAATGTGCTTCTAGTATTGTAATAAATATGTACAGTGCCTGGTGGGTACTTGAAAAATTGTGGTAAGGGGGCACTCTATAAAATACATGATTGTCTAACTATTATGCTATACACCAGAAGCTAACACAAAATAATATGGATTGTAATTGCAATTAAAAAAAATTAAAATATAAAAGCCTCCCATCTTGATAACTAAAAAAAATTTACTTCAGATTTATTATAAATTAATTTCAGTGAGATATATATATTTTATTCCTATATACCTATATTCATTCTTGTGTTTTTGTGCCATTATTGTTTAAAGGTGATATATGTAAGTGTGTATATATTAGAATCAACAATACATTGTTATATTATTACTTTTTTTCATTATTGGTTTTAATGAAGCTGAGAAAAAATGGAGGAGTAATGACCTAATTATAAATTTTGTTTTATCAACCTTTTATTTACTGTTTCTGGTCCATTTCATTTGTTTTTGTGGATTTTGAATTACTATATGGTGTTGTTTTGAAACTCCAATTCAGTTTCATTCCTACCCACCTCCTTTGTGAATATTATTGCTATAAATGTGGGTGAAAGATATTTGAGTCCCTGTTTTCACTTGTTTTGGGTATATACCCAAAGATAAAATTGCCTATGCTTTTGGTGTCATAACTATGAAATCTTGCCAAATCCAATGTCATGAGGTTTTCCTATATGTTTTTCTAGGATTTTTTTTTACAGTTTTGGCACTTACTTTTAAGTGTTTGATCCATTTTGCATTACTTTTTATAAATGTGTATGGTAATGGTGCAGCTTCATTCTTTCACATGTGGGTATGCAGTGTTCCCAGCACTATTTGTTGTACTGTAGTTTCCTAATGGCAGTTATACATATTGCCCCCTCTTTTTAGAAAATCTATTTCTACATATTTCAATAAGTATCTGCCAAGGTTTAGAGACTTCTACCTTCTCAGTTAGGAACCATCTATCTTCTCAATTCATTTGCTATCACTCTGTATCATGTTAAGCATTAGCATTACCAAGTGATGTCAGTAATTTCCTACTAGCCTTCCTCTTTAAAGAATAAAACAAAGAATGTAAAGAATTGAATGCAAATGATAATATTTTGAGTAACAATACTGGAGAGTTCATGAGAGTTTGAAAGATTAAGTAACAAATATATATAGAACTAAAAAATAAAAAAATAAATGTTGAGTGCTTGAAAATATCATAATGCTTATAAATTTATAGGGGTTTTCATAATTTGTCAGGATTTTGAATTATAAAATACTTGACACATAATCTTTTAAAAGGGCAGATAATATTTCACATAAACTGTTTCCCAAAATTGTGGTGGAGAATGCAACATTAGTGTTCAAATAAAATTTTATTATAAAATATAAGCAATTCATGACATCTCTAGAACTTTTCTCAAAAAATCATCTTGAAAGTAACCCTAAATAGGTTTTCCATTTCCTCACTTAACTGTAAGTGATTCATGATGACTACAAGAGCACATAAATATAAATTGAATAGAGCCTTTGTTGATTTGGTATCAAAGTATTAATAACAAATAACCAGAGCTTATTGATATTATTTGTCCTAAAAAGAGACAAAAAAACACACAACAAAAGAGTTATTTTCCCTTTAACTGGTGGGTATTATTATAGCTATTAACATTTATATATATATAAAAGCCCAGTGACTGAATCAGAATGACCGGTTGACCAGTCACTATGATGCACACTGACCACCAGAGGGCAGATTCTCAATGCAGGAGCCGCCCCCCTGGTGGTTAGTGCACTCTCACAGCAGGAGTGCTGCTCATCTGAGCTCCTTCCCTCTCTGTAAAAAATCAATAAAATAAAAAGAAACATGGAACAGATTGATGAGTCTCAGAGGAAAGGGGGAGGGAGGAGGGTGAGAAGAGATTAACCAAAGATCTTATATGCATACTAGAGCCTGAGTGCATAGATTTGTGTACTGCTGGGGTCCCTCAGCCTAGCCTGCGAGGATCAGGCTGAAACTAGCCTGGTGCACAGATTTGTGCACTGGTGAGGTTCCTTGGCCTGCAGAAATCAGTTTCCACCTGGCCTGTGGAAATCATGCCAAAACCAGCAGTCCAACATCCCCCAAGGGTGAGAAGGTGCAGGCCAAGCCAAGAGACCCCATTGGTGCACAATTCCATGCACCAGGCCTCTAGTAGAGGCTATAATAGATAAAACACAACTCTGATGTTAGCAGTTCATCATTATCATTTAGAGTTCATCATTATATTTAGGGAAGCTGAAATGCTCTTAATCATATCAATAATTGATCAATAACTGCTTTGTACTAAGTGAACAAATGACATGTCAGAGTAGGATTTGAATGAGAAATTAATCATGCTATAAATGATCGCATTTATAATAGAATCTTATTGGACTCTTTAAGAGAGAAAATTAACTCATTCTTTCTAAAGTAACATTCAAGGAGCAAACATATATGTTGTTTCCTAGGTTATACTGATGAATAATTGTGTCTCATCTATATATATAAAAGCCCAGCGACCAAACAGTGGAATGACCAGAATGACCGGTTGACCAGTCACTATGATGCACACTGACCACCAGAGGGCAGATTCTCAATGCAGGAGCTGCGCCCTGGTGATCAGTGCGCTCCAACAGTGGAAGTGCCACTTGGCTGATCAGGATGAGAGGCATTCCCACAGCAGGAGCAGCCGCTCAGAGAGCAGGTCCACAGCTGCTTGGCTGACCTGATCAGAATGAGCAGCTGCTCCCACAGTGGGCTAATCCCCGCATGCCACGCCCCCCCCATCAGTGCAATAATCCATGCACTGGGACTCTAGTCTAATGTAATAAAAGAGAAACATTCAAATTGACTGCACATATGCTACGCCCAAGCCACACCCATCAGCCAATCAGAGCAACTACATGCAAATTAACCCAACCAAGACAGCAGCTGGCAGCCACAGAGCTGGAGCAAGCAGGAGGCTTGGTTGCCCCAGCGATGGAGGAAGCCAAGCTTTCTCCTGCCCTGGCTGGCTGTAGCCTCCACTCAGGCAACAAAGTTTCAAGTATAGAAGATAAATAAATCCCAGATATCTGCTTCCAGCCAGCCTCCACTGGGAGCTTGGGTGGCTGGGGGCTGTGGCCAGCCTGCAAACAGCCATCAGCCCCACACCCAGGATTACAACAGCCTCATGGGGTGAGGATCCCCACTGGGGGGCTTGGCCAGCCTGCAAACAGGCACTCCAGCAGGCCCCCCCGTTTTCTTATATAATAAAAGGGTAATATGCAAACTGACCCTAACAGCAGAACAACTGGGAATGACTGGTCACTATGACACACACCGACTACCAAGGGGCAGACACTCAATGCAGGAGCTTCTCCCTGGTGGTCAGTGCGCTCCTACAAGGGGAGCTCTGCTCAGCCACAAGCCAGGAAGACGGCTGCCAGTACAGCAGTGACGGTGAGAGCCTCTCCTGCCTCCTCAGCAGCACTAAGCATAGGCCGACTGCAGCCTAGGCCTGCTCCCCACTGGCAAGTGGACATCCCCTGAGGGCTCCTGGGCTGCCAGAGGGATGTCTGACTGCCAGCTTACTCCCAACCCCCGGGGAGCGGGCCTGCGCCAGCAGGTGGACATCCTCTGAGTGGTCCCAGACTGCGAGAGGGCACAGGCTGGGCTGAGGGTCCCCCCCGCCACCCCCAGAGTGCACAAATTTTTGTGCACTGGGCCTTTAGTTTATAATAAAATACAACCATTCATGAGCTACAGCAAGATGAAATCATATATCCATAGCTACTAAATGTAATTCTTATACACAGTTTGATGTACAGAATATTGTCCACAGTATGAGTGTGTATGTGTACAATTTATAAAAGCTAAAGATTTTAATCTCAGTAAATCATGATACCTTGGATGAAAATCCTAGTTTTAATTTTAAAAATTTAATAATAAACTTCATTGTTTCATATCTAAGTACCTAAATATTCACCAACTACTAATGAATCAACATTAAGTAAATGCACAAAACAGAAGCATAATTAATATTCTAAGAGTTGGTATTTAAATGAGTGCTGCTAAAATATTCATTTAATATGTTAGGGGACTGTGTATTATCTTGAATATTATTGATATTATTTAATTAGCTGAACAAACTATTTCCCAAAAAGATAGTATGAGACAAGCACAGACTAACTCACTGCAACTTCAAAATAACATTCATTGTGAATCAGTGGAGTTAAAATTAATTCCACTTAAAACAACATTATCTGAGGGCTACTGTAACTCATTAATAACATTTAACTTTGAAAAAATGATTTTTTTCCCTAGGGAAATATATTATCCTAATGCAGCACCAAAAT